AAAAACAAGAGCAGTTTTTATTAGAATCAACTGACAAACTACTCTGTAGAATTGTTAGAAAATTTCCTAAAAGCTTACTTTCAATTTTCATGGTTTATCTCATCATGCACTCAACAAATAGTTTGTGAACCGACACCTATCTGTGGACCACGTTTTAAACAGAACCTCTGTGCATAGAGATGTGCTGGCTCTCCACGGGACAACTACTGATTTACTGTATAGCATCTGCCAATTTCCATAGTGTAAACACTCATATCAAGTTCAGTTTCAACCTATTAATGAAATGTCACTGAACACAGCCTTGGGAAGAGATGTGCACAATCAACTCTTATGGGCTTGTTCTTGTGTTCAAAAGACTTTCTAAAATTTAGTAACCAAGAACTGCTAAATAATTCTTCAACATAGCTTTATAGTATCTGATCTATTAGCTTAGACAGTAAGAACCCATTAATAAGAAGATACAGAAAGTGGTTTTGATCTTACATATGCTTTATGGCCACCTGACTTATGTGTGCTCTTTTAATATAGATAGATAAATAGATAGATAGATAGATAGATAGATAGATAGATAGATAGATATTGATTTCAGAGAGGAAGGGAAGAGAGAGGTACAAAAACATCAATGATAGAAAATCATTGATCAGCTGCCTCCTGCATGCCCCCCACTGGGGATAGAGCCCAAAACCTGGGCATGTGCCCTTGACTGGAATTGAACCAGGGACCGTTCAGTCCACAGGCCAATGCTCTATCCACTGAACAAAACCAGCTAAGGCTTTTTTTTTTTTACAATATATAAAATAAATCTATTTACCAGATTGTAGATACAAAATAATTAGTCATTTACATGCAATAAACATTAATATTTCAAGAAAAACAATTTTAAATATATTACATGCAATAACCATTAATATTTCAAAAAATATTTTAAATATAATAATTACCAAAACTGTACTAACATATATAATATCACAAAAGTTGTAGGAAATATTAAAAATCTGCAAATATCAGGATTGCTTTTATTATTTTCTAAAATATTTTTGTTCATCAGTTTATGTTGTTCATTATATTCCACAAATGAGTGAGATCATGTGATATTTATCTTTCTCCAACTGGCTTATTTCGCCTAGTATAATGCTCTTCAGGTCTATCCATGCTGATGCAAATGGTAAGAGTTCCTTCTTTTTTACAGCAGCATAGTATTCCATTGTGTAGATGTACCACAGTTTTTTAACACCTTCCTCTACTATACTCTTCTTGTCACTCAGACCTCAGTGGATTCTAAGTAACTTGTGATATTGAATCATGAGAATAGAATGAGAAAAACAAAAACTTAGGAGAGAAGAAGGGTTTAGGGCTTAGTCTGAAAAGCTAGGAGAGAGTGATGCTGGGGAAAATTGGGGGATTTAGTTGTATGAATTTCTAGAGCAACCTTGAATGCAAAAGATTTGGGACACCAGAAAGAAGGGAATTGTGAGAATTTTGAGTTGCATGTTGGATCTTCTTTCTTCTACTTCAAAAGGCAGTCTTGGAGATTTGAACTCCTAATACTTATTTGATGACTGACAGATGGTCCTTGACTCTGACTCCTGGGGTAGCATTTGCCAAGCTCCACACCACAGTAAAACCTCATCACAAAGCCCCTGGCATAAAAGCACAGCCGTTGAGTCCTGTCTTCTATGCACCTCCCTTATTCTAAGTGGGACAATCTTAAGGTCTTACTTCCTTCAGGCACTGGGGCTGGGCCAGCCTGTTAGGAAAGACATGTCCCCAGATTTCTCTCTCTCTCCAATCTAACCTTAGTGGACTTGTGGCATTGCTGCTGCTCTCTGGAAGCCCCCATTGATCAAATTACTGTGGGGGCTAAAAAATATATGAATACTTTTTTCTTCCACCTTCTAAGGTCTTTTAGCTGGGCTAACAATCAAATTAACAGAGATGGAATAACAGGGGAAAATCAAAGTTTTAATACAGGCGAATGGAAAATTCACATAGGCATGAAAGACCATGAGGCAGGATTGGGTATATAAGACATTTCTGAACCAAGGAGAAAGAGGAGGGGGCCACAAGGGACCGGATGTCAGAAGTGAGAATGGGTGATTTGCAGGTAATTGAGGAAGAGTGGAAACATACAGAGCAGGAAAATTCTTGCTGGGCAACTCAGAAACAGTGGGGTATCTAGCTGAGAGGCTTGGAGCCTTCCTGCTAGGGTGAAGATTTTTAAGGTGATTAAGCCAAGGCTGTTTTTCCAAAGCAGGTTTCTCTGTCTGAATCTCTTGGGCAGGAAAGGGGAAGGGCAAAGGTTCTTCCTGAGTTTTTCGTTTCTTAATAAACAGCGTAAGATCAATATCCCTCAAGGCGGTTATTCGGTAACAGAAGATTGGTTCCCTTCAGCATCCAGAGTTATCCCTATGGATAGCAAAGAGGAGCTGACAACAGCCCTCCAGATGCCCCCAAGTTGCAATGGGCCCTAGCGAGTGTCTCCAAACCCAGTCATTACCTTGTTACTCATGTGTCCTTCCACCTCCATGTCACACTCATCACATCAGGGCAGAATTTTTACTGTACGTCACAGCACAGGAAACGTTTCTGTATGTGTCTGCTTTGTCCAGTGTTGACCATCCACGTTAAAAGAAAAAGTTGGGGTAGTTAACTACAAGCAGTAAACCATCGAAAAGATCAGACATTTGATATTGGAATGTGGTATGGAGTTTCTTTGGAACATGAGTGGACAAATGTCCTGGGAATCCATTTTTAAGAGCATAATGAGTTCACATTGTAAAGATTTGTTTTAGGGAATGTAATAAAGTGATCTAATCTCATTTGGTTCAAATAGACAGATTCTATCCTCATTAGGGTCACTCCTCCTCTCACCCACACTGGTCTTCAGATGAACAGCCAAGACTTAGCATGACCCTAAGCAGGGTTATCTGTTCAGACCTTCCTAGGGAACACACGGTAGTGACAGTGCATGGGACTACAGTGGGTGAGATGGAATGTTGACAATGCTCAGGCTTGTGTTACGTGGCCGGAAGCTTCATTGTGGCCCCTGGGAGAACCCGAGACCAGACTGGTTCTGCTCCTGGCTCTGCAGCTGCAGGCACTGTGAGTCTCCCCTGGACACATTGCTGGTTGTTGAGCTCTGTTCCCATGTAAAGCTGTATGTTTTATGCAGTATTCTCACATGAAAGGTTTCCCTGGGGTGAGCTTCTATCAGCAACCTTCCCAGGTAACTGAGAGGTGACATATGTATTGTTCACATTACCCTCTCCCTTTCCGCAAGAGCACATAGGATATTGTAATGTAACATCTCTGTGTGTGTGTTTTCCTTCAACTCTCAGGCAATCCCTGGGAAGTAGCCAAACATCTCTGCCCCTGTGTCTTACGGTTAAGGAAGTCACTCTGAATCACAGGGCAGTGGAGCATCAGGACAATAATAGGGTCTTCCCGCTTATTGGTCATTATTGGATGCTTCCTCTGAGTGGCCTTGGGAAGCATCCTATGTTTAGAAGTGAATGTTTCCTTCTGCATGATGGCCCCAGTGCCAGTTAGAGCCAGAGGCAAGGAGGCGGGTTGTGTGGTGGGGACCTGCGACTTGCTATAACAGCAGGGACGCTAGCTGAGAGGAAAAGGCATGGATGAGGTGGGGGTGGCTGCAGGGGTGGGGAGAAAGTGATGGAAACACAATAGTTTTAAAGGGACTAAACAAAAGTTTTTAGAAAGCTGGTCAAGAAATCTTTCTTTACTGGCAGGGAGTTCCCATTTTGGACACTTAACTCATTTTGATCTGCATTTTCCCGTATCGTGCTACACAAATGGAAAACTGAAAGCCAGTGTGTAAAGCTTCTTCAAGACCCTCAGCTGGGTCAATTAGATGGTTAGAGAGAGGGCTGGAGCCTGCTTCAGCTGGAGCCTCAGGAGGACTTCAGCTAACTCACCAGGTCCACAGACACCTCATTGAGCAGGTGCAGGCCTGAGGTGATCAAGTCGCCCTGAAGGACAGCACATCAGGGAGTGGGCTCAAACAGACACACAGAGACTGATTTAGAAACTAGTGTGTACATTTATTTTACAATTAAAGGATACTTTGGTGCAGTGTATTACCTCTCAATAGGTAGTTCTTCTCAGAAACAACAACCAAAAAATTCAGAACAAAAGTTCATACAATTCTATCCAGAAAGAGAGAAAGAGACAGAAAGAAGGTAGAGAGAGAAGGAAGGGAAGGGAAGGGAAGGGAAGGGAAGGGAAGGGAAGGGAAGGGAAGGGAAGGGAAGGGAAGGGAAGGGAAGGGAAGGGAAGGGAAGGGAAGGGAAGGGAAGGGAAGGGAAGAGAGAAGAGAAGAGAAGAGAAGAGAAGAGAAGAGAAGAGAAGAGAAGAGAAGAGAAGAGAAGAGAAGAGAAGAGAAGAGAAGAGAAGAAACTAATGTTGATAAAAGCAATTTGCAGGAACCTATGATAATATGCTGTATATCCCCTACTCCCTACCCAGACATCTCATACTGTTCTTAGGATTTTACATGCTTACAATCTCTATGCTTTCCTTCTTTTCCCAATGTTTATTATCAACCATCAGAATCTTCTTTAACGGGTTACTTGGTTTAATATTACTTATATTTAATATTTTCCTGAGAAGGTAGAGACTACCTGGCCTTATCCATATGCATATATTATTTCTCAGGGTGCACTGTTGCCTGAGAAGATTTCTACAGATGGCTAATCATGTCTACTTTATGTTGACTGATATTAATTTCCATTTCAGAAACTTCCATCTCCGAGGTTGGTGTTTTTTGGTCTTTTGTCCCCTCAGTTTTGTGGGGGTGTCACCTTATGAACGGCCCTAAAGGGCCCAACCAGGAATCTCACTTAGTCTGTCAATGGACTTGCGTTCTTGTTAAGTGTCTTAGTGTGTTCCATGTGCCCTAATTTCCAATGGATGTCAGTTACAATATCAGAAATTAAAACCCATGCAGAAATCACAGTGTCTTTGTTTTCACTGTCTTCCAGTGTCATCTTGCATTACAACATATAAGAAGACACCACCTCCAGTCCCACCCAGAACTACCACGAAACCTTTCATTTCTATCACAGCCCAGAGTAGCACAGAGTCTGCCCAGGATGCCTACATGGACGGACAGGGCCAGCGAGGAGATATTATCAGCCAGTCTGGACTGAGCAACTCCACGGAGAGCCTGGACAGTATGAAGGCTCTGACAGCCGCCATCGAAGCCGCCAATGCCCAGATCCATGGCCCTGCCAGTCAACACATGGGCAACAACCCTGCCACCATCACCACCACGACCACCATAGCCACCATCACTACAGAGGACAGGAAGAAGGATCACTTTAAGAAAAATCGATGCCTGTCAATTGGGATACAGGTAACAGCCTCCCTTTTCTACCTTTGAATTAGGAACCCAAAACTAAGAAATGTAACTTATATTTTCCCCGATTCGCGGTCTTGTCATTTTGGATGACAGCTATGCCTAGAACCAGATTTTCAAGTTATTGGCTCTGGAATCCCTAAATTGTTAAGCATGATGAAACAAAATTATGATATTAGATTATGTCTATAGATATGAACAGCTATTGTTTTTGTTCTTTAAATTGAATGTGTGACTCAAACTCTAGGGTAATTAAACAAACATGAACACAGTCAAACACAAAGGGCCTCAATTCCTAATGCACATATTGATTCTCAACAAAGGAGTGGACATCCAAGAATAACCTGGGTTCTCGGGTTGTGTTACAGTATGTTCAACACCCTTGAGTAACCAGATGAGAACAAAAATGTGAGTCCCTCCTCATAGATGTGGGACGGAGGGAGAGCAAGACCGAAGAGCCTGATGGTGTGGAAAGCAGTTAGTCACATCACAGCATCAAGAGGAAAGAATGCACAGCAATTTCAGCGTAATCGTTGGCCATTTAGTCAAGCATCTCATAAAAATGGTAGAAAACTCATCAGGGCTGTCAGTTCAGCTCACTAGTTTTTGCTCCTCAAAGATAACATCAAACTAATTCTTGTTTTTCCCACCTGTTCAGCGTGGCTTACCCTTTTATCAATGGAGAAGAATAATTCTTTCCCCCCGGTTTTGTTGTGCAGGTGCCCTTTGAATAATAACTTCCTGACGTGATGTCCAATAAATCTATCCACACTGAACCTACACTAGGGCACAGCTACACGCCAGGTGCGGGGTACACTTTTCACAACAATGATGTATTTTCACAGTCCATTCTGCAGAGTCCACTTTTAAAGGGTAATTAAACTTTCTCTAATAATGATGAGCCAAATGCTTTTTATAACTTGCAGGTTACCATAACACAAGTTGTCAAGTTTCCTAAAAGAACTCCTAGCCCTGATGCTTGGAATTAAATGGCACAGCAGGAGGCCTGGGCCCAAAGCCAGCCTCCACCAACCATGCCCTCCACATCTTCCTAGAAGCTAACTGCCCTCCGAATACCGAAGGATTTGGAGTAGGAAAGAGCAGAGGCCAGTCCTCTGTGTCATCCTAGGCAAATTACTTCATCTTCCTGAGCCTGTTTCCTCCTTTCTCCCTCATAGGATTATTTTGAGAATGAAGTTTCCTAAATTGAGCAACCTATGGGGGTATAGAGTTTCAATATAAGATGATGAAAAAATTAGAGAGATCTAATTTGGTGGTGATGTCAGCACAACAATATGAATGTACTTAATACCCCTGGAACTGTACATTTTTTAAATGGAAACTTTAAAAAAAAATTATTGATTTCAGAGAGAAAGGGAGAGGGAGAGAGAAATAGAAACATCCATGATGATAATCATCAATTGGTTGCCTCCTGCACGCCCCCTACTGGGGATCGAGGCTGTAACGCAGGCATGTGCCCTGACAGGGAATCTAACCATGACTCTCTGGTTCATAGGTCGACACTCAACCACTGAGCCACAAAAATATTTATTGGCTTATTAGATTGCTATCTATAAAGTACCTATTCATATCCTTTGCTAGTTTTTTTGTTTGTTTGTTTGTTTTTATCTATTAAGTTGTGTTTTATTTTATTTGTGGGATCTTTTTATATCTTTGGACCCTTAATAACCCTTTCTTGGTTGTATATATAGTAAATATTTTCTCTCACTTATCATTTATCTTTTAAATTTTGTCCTTCATTGTAGAGAATCTTAAATTACTATATAGTCAATCTAGCTTTTAGTTTAGAAAGGCTTCCTCTACTCTGAGTATATCTTTAGAGTTCTCTTGTATTTACTTTTATCCTGTCATATTTAATTTTTCTGTATTTTTTTGTTGTTGTTAATCCTCACCTGAGGATATTTTTTCCATTGCATTTTAGAGAGAGTGGAAGGGAGGGGGAGACACACAGAGAGAAACATTGATGTGAGAGAGACACATTGATTGATTGCCTCTCACAAGAGCCCCGACATAGACTGGGGTTGGAGACTGCAACCGAGGTATGTGCCCAACCAAAATTGAACCCATGACCTTTCAGTCTGTAGGCCAACATTCTAATCACTGAGCAAAACCTGCTAGAACTGCATGCTTAATTTTTTTTTTTTTAATCCTTGCCCGAGGATATTTTTCTATAGATTTTTAGAGAGGGTAAGGCAGAGAGAAATAGTGATGTGAGAGAAACACATCAATTGGTTGCGTCCCGCAAGCACCCCAACCAGGGTCAGGGCCAGGGAGAAGGCCTAAGCCTGTGAACCGAACCGTGACCCTTCGGTTCACAGGCTTAGGCCTAATGTATCACATAGGCTCTAGGTCATATATGAGCACATTTTCTATATGAGCTGTAATATATACATATCTATTTAGAAGCAATGGAGTAATATTTAAAGCCAATTCCTTAGTTTAAGGGGCAGGGGAAGGAGGGAATGAAGATATTCTACAGTTTATCTTAATGAGGTAAATACCTAAATCTCTCAAAATCAATAACTCTGACTACAATCAATTTTCTCCTTTCTTTTGTATTTTGTTATCTGCAAATTCAAAACTTCCAAGAACATAGTGCCATGTAGTACTCCCTTCTAACATAGTGCTCACAGGTGAGTACATTCAAATGTATGGAGGAATCACAGACATTTATTAGGCAAATTTTTAAAGTGATTAAAATTGCATTTTATGAAGATCAGAGTCAAAGTGCGTGCTATAATAATGTAGTAAAGGCTCTCATTAAATGCAGAAATACTGAAGAAAAGGATTACAAATCAGAAAACATTCTAGTAGCGTACAGAGGTTTCTAGTGAGATGTGACATTTGTTTTTCAAGTGAGATAAATAAAATGGAGCACCTCTACATATTTGATTATTTCTTTAGGTGGATGATGCTGAAGAACCTGACAATGCAGGGGAAAATAAAGCGCCCAGTAAGTTCCAGTCCGTAGGAGTGCAAGTAGAAGAAGAGAAGTGGTGAGTCCACATGCATTCGTCCTCTTTCATCTTGAGGTTGCCAGTTTGGTACAAGTGTTTTTCCTGGGATAAACTAACAAGATTCAATGACATCGTCCGTTAACTTTTGGTAGCATTTACAGGGTAAGCTTGAAACAGTATTGGCTGATTCCCTCGTCTACTTTAATTTTTTTTTTTTTTTTTGTACAGAGAGGAAGGGAGAGAGATAGAGAGTTAGAAACATCGATGAGAGAGAGTCATCGATCAGCTGCCTCTTGCACACCTCCTACTGGGGATATGCCCGCAACCAAGGTAGTACATGCCCTTGACCGGAATCGAACCTAGGACCCTTCAGTCCCCAAGCCGACGCTCTATCCATTGAGCCAAACCAGTCTCGGCGATTCCCTTGTCTACTTTAATAGTGGAGACCACTCCATTGAAGGTTTAGCTAGAATAGTAGAATAAGCACATCGCATTTACATACACATAAGCACTGTGTATATTACTGTCGTGTTGCAAAACTATTCCTCTTCAAAAAACCTTTCTATTTGGTACTGTAAACTTTTTAAGAGCCGAGGACTTACCTTATTCCTTGTTTTCTCTTAGCACTTAATAGTGTTTTGTGTTTGATATGCACTCAGTGAATGATAAATAATGAATGAATGGGGAAAAGGAGAAAGAAAATTCCCCATGATTATCCTGGTGGAGATGTGGAGCAACATTAACTCTCACTCATTGCTGTTGGGAATGCAAAATGGTACAACCACTTTCAAAGACAGTTTGGTGGTGTCTTACAAAACTAAAAATATTTTTATCATATGATCCAGCAATCACACGCCTTGGTATTTACCCAAAGAAATTGAAAACTTATGTCCATGCAAAAACTTGCCCACAGATGTTTACAGCAGCTTTAGGCATCATTGTCAGAACTTAGAAGCAACCAAGATGTCCACCAGTAGGTGAATGGATAAATAAACTGTGGTATATACAGACGATGGAATATTATTCAGCATTAAAAAGAAATCAGTTATCAAGCCACGAAAAGACATGGAAGAAAATTAAATGCACATTACCAAGAGAAAGAAGCAATCTGCAAAGGCTCTCTATAAGTATTTTCAATTCTATTATGTACCCAGATAGAATCTCTCTAAAGATTGAAATTTTAAGAAAGCAATTAAACCATCTTTTAAGTAAGAGAATAATCTCAAATTTAAAAGTTTCCTTTAAACATTTCCCCTGCAGTCCACTGTTCTCTTACCAAATTAATGCCCTGACACTTGCCGCGCAAACAGAATGTGAAATATTGCATTATTTGGCCTAGTAGCAGCCCAAAAACTTCAAATGAGCCCCTTTTATCATGTTATTGAAAAGTTGAACATTTAATGAACTGTTGAACTTTGTAAGGATGGTCAGTTCCTCGGTAAACTGAGTAATTTATTTAAAATTCATTCTCTAAAGGACTAGTAAACCCAATGTTGGTGCTTAACTTTCTAAAAGCACCCCTCCTTGGAGGTCACTCTATAGTTAGCCTCTGTAAAGTAAATAAGCATTTAAACTGATGCTAATGATGTTGTCAGCCTCTCTAAAAGAAATCCATTGTCAAACAGTCAGGCATTACTTATATCGTCTGTCTCTAATTATAATTATTTTTATAATGTTGCTGGTAGTAATTCATTTAGATGGGATCTTAAGAAAAGCAAATTTGGGCAGATGAAATTACCTAATGACAGACAGGGGATTTTCTTAAATTATCTAGTGATAAAGCTGAGACTGTTGTTTTCACAATGAATGGCCAATACAATCTACCTCCTTCCGCAAATAAACAGACTGATACGCAACAGTAACCTAACAAAAAGTGAGAGAAGAAAGAAAACAAGAGTCAGAGGAAGAGAGAGATAGTACAGAAAGAGGAAGAGGAAGAGGAAGACTTTGTTAAGAGGCCAAAAGATTCATTATCACCTTTTGAATTTGCCACAATTTAGGAACCAAAACTAACATAACAAAGTCCACCTGGCCAGTTTGTCTGTTAAAGGGTAGACTTGTAAATGCAGGGTGTTCTTCAGTGTTCCAAATCAAAACAAAAGTCAATAACTCATTGGTAGAAAGTAAAATGCATTAAGTAACCTATCTGCTTTAAAAAAAAAAAAAGAATTAAAATGAGTATTACAAATGTTGGTATATTTGCAGGCAGCCATGACATCTTCAGAATGCCATTGATAGCCAATATGCCCCGTTCATTCTCCAGGGCTGCCTCATGGTGGGGGCCCAGACAAAGGAATGCTGACTAAAGGTCTAGTTTAAATGCCATGGCAGCACCGAGCCAGGGACAATGCATGCATGTGGTTTGGGAACAAGACGGCTTATTTTAAGGCCATGAAGAAATGCCTCATCTCCATCAAACACTAGCTATCTTCCTTCATTCCTGTTTCTCGGGTTGGCTAGTGGCACTGTTTGGCAGGATCCACACGGCATATATTTGCTGACATGCAGGGCTGATGCTGAACAAAGTGGGCAAGTCATGCCACCTCCTCCCAGGATTGCTCACCTCCATCCCACAGCCTCCTAGCATCCCGGCTCCATTCTCTGGTCCTTCTGACTTCTCCCCAGGAATTTGCATGAGGCCTCCCTTTCTTTCAAGCTGATAATTAGCAAATCTAATAAGCCAATCCTTTCTATTTACTAAGGTGAGAAAGCAAGATCCTCCCAGGGATCTCCCCTTTCCGTCTAAGTCACAACTGTGCTTCAATCGTGGTTCAAACTAGACTTCTTGCAGTAGCCCCTTAGTGGCTATTACAGTGGGCACAAAGAGAAAAAAAATATTATTTTCATTATAAAAATAGTATGGAGCCGAGACCAGTTTGGCTCAATGGATAGAGCGTCGGCTTGGGGACTGAAGGGTCCCGGGTTCGATTCCAGTCAAGGGCATGTACCTTCATTGCGGGCATATCCCCAGTAGGGGGTGTGCAAGAGGCAGCTGATCGATGACTCTCTCTCATCGATGTTTCTAACTCTCTATCTCTCTCCCTTCCTCTCTGTACAAAATCAATAAAATATATATTTTAAAAAAATAGTATGGAAAAGCAAAGTTACTTGGAGGAAAACATGCAATAGCATAATAGCAGTTTATAACTCTCTGATGGGCTTTGGAGCATTTTAAAAAACATTATTTATATATATCTTATTATTAAGTATTATCTATATTTTCTATAATTGAATAATCCAACAATAAGGAAAGTAAGTTCATATTTATGTATTATAAACATTTATAAATTACAGAAATAAAATAAAATCCCCCATTATCCTATCCATTAACCATGAGTTAATATAGGTGTATAGTTTTACCCATACTTTTTCCAGTAATGTTTTATTTTATTTGAATTCCATTTTGTGTTTATTAGAGAAACAAAGCAAAAGCATCATACTTCCCTAGGTTACTTGTTTCTGACCATCTCTATTTTTTGTTTTGGTTTGGCACAAATTGCCAAGGATGAAGAGAACAGGAGAGGGAAATACACACACACACACACACACACACACACACACACACACACACACAGAGCCTGTTTTGGAAGCTAGAAGGCAGATCGACTAGTGATAACCACTTAGCAGACCAGAGAAACTGAATCTAAAGCCAGTGAGGCAGAAATCCAAGCTGTACCTTGATTTAAATTTCAGAGCCCACAGAAGGCATGGGGATTGACTTTGTTGAAGGTGGAGCTACAAACCCCTTGAACCTGCAGAGCCATTGACAATCTCCTTTCTGTGGCAGAGGCCGGGGTTTCTCATCTTCAGAGGCTAAAACAAAAGGGTCTCTGGTCTGAAAGATAGCAGCACGGTTAAGGGCAGGATTACTGTACTGAAAATAGGAGGTTAAGTGCAAATTTACAAACAATTTGAACCCAAGACCCAAAGACTCTGACATCAAGGATTTGGCAAGGTAAAATCCCAGCCAGGTCATCCTGCAGTGAAGATTAGCGTGGAAGAGCCCTCCCCAACCAGGCTTCTGACTGGTTTTTAGTCCTGGTCATAATAAGATAGTCTAAAAGCAAGTTCTGAGTAGTGACTTAAAATCTTATATTTATCCACCACGTTATGATTTCCAGTGTTCTTCATTCCTTTCTGTAGGTCCAGCATCCTTTTCCTTCTGCTTGAAGAAAAATTTTTAAACCATTCTTATAGTGCATATCTACCCGGGATGAATTCTTCCAGCTTTTTGGATATAGAAAAAGTCGTTATTTTGTCATCATTTATGTTTATTTTTTTAATATATTTTTATTGATTTCAGAGAGGAAAGGAGAAGGAAAGTGAGATAGAAACATTGATGATGAGAGAGAATCATTGATCGGCTGCCCCCTCCCCCACCCCCACCTTGGCCCTCCTCCACACATACACCCTTCGGGTATTGAGCCTGCAACCCTGGGCATGTGCCTTAACCAGAAATTAAACCGTATTCATAGGTTGATGCTCAACCAGTGAGCCATGCCAGCCAGGCTCCCGTTTCTTCAATTTTAGATTAGTATTATGCAAATATGGAGACTCTTAATTGAGGTTTAGGCACAACCTACTGAGTCTTGACTCTGCCCGCTAGAGCCATAGAGAAAGAAGGCCAGAGCAACCTAAAGACTGGGAAATCAAACCAGTAACACTGACACCTAAGGACTGAATTACAAACTGCCTTTTTTTTTTTTTTTTTTTTTTTTCTTTTTTCTCCTTTTTTTTCCTGTTTTTTCTTTTTCTTTTTCTTTTAACTAATAAAAAATAAGTGGACACAAATAACTAAGATATAGCCTACCTAAAATTGAGGACTACTTTACAAAACTGAGGTGCAGTGGAATGCTGGGAACTGCAAGACTCTCTGGTCCGAGAATCAGGCGTGCCAAATACAATAACAGAAGGAGTGAATGATCACTACTGGACGTTTTTATGTTAATTTTACTATTCTTTATTTTATTGACATTTTTTACATCTCTTATTTAATCTTCATTTTTTACATCCTTGCTTAAGAAACGATTTTTTTTCTT